CAGCCTCCTGACTCCTGCTCCCCTGGACTGGCCAGTTACGTGACTTTTGTCCCCTCACAGGGCCCTCCCTTTCTGATTGTAAGAGCAGCAGCTTGTCATAGGGAAATGCCAGAAATAAGGATAGACACCCTGGTCTGATCTTTGCGAGAGAGGCTGCTGTGGCCTTCGCTGAGTAGGAAACCTCATAGCAAAGCCAGGGTTGATACTGCAATCAGCGCTTCCGCCTGACACAGTAGCAGCCCAGGTTCCAGGTCTGGGTCTTCCAATGCCATGTGTGGCTTTGGACAAGGCATCCCCCTCCCTGGGTCTCTGTTTGTCCAGTTTATAGAACAGGGATAAAGCTGCTATCTGCCCAGCCTACCTCCTGAATGTGCTTTGTAAACCCCAAGTGCCGCCCAAGTGGGAGGGATTACAGATACCAGAGACGTGACCGGAATACTGATTTCCACTCCAAGTCCCTTGAGGACGTGCTGGGCCTGTCTTGGAAAATATAAAGGAAACTAAGAAGCTGCCAGTGATGCAAATGGGAGAGTCTCAGAGTCTTATGGGCTGCCTGGCAGGGAGAGCCCTTCTGCTCGCACAGCGCTCCTGTGCCAGGGAACGTGCCACGCTGGAGGCCCTCTCATTGCCCAGTGCACGTGTGTTGGGGGTGTGAGGAGTCATGGGACCAGGGCCCTGGTACCTGTAGCCTGAGCCTGCCAGGACCCCCTGTTCGTCTCTTAAAGAGTCCTGGCTCAGGAGCCCTAGGAAGTGTGCAGAGGACCCCATGCACCAAAAGAAGTGATACCCCACGTTTTCCTCCCTCGGCATGCGTGGGCTGTTGGCACAAGTTCAAGGGAGTGGCTTAGCTTAGCCAGAGTATCTTTCCTCCTCACTGCATCACGCCTCTCAGAACCATTCCCCCAGCTGACAGGAGTCCCGGTTCCCCTGCAGTGACCAAGATGCCAGGATTCTTGCCCCGTTCTGCCAAACACTTGCTTTGTCCTCTTGCTCAACCCCTTCATCTCTTTGAGCCTGTGTTCTCGTTTGTAAAGGGGAGGACATCATCCTTCCCCTCTCTCCATTACCAGTTTGCTGTGTCCAACGAGACCACATTGCTCTGATCATGATCTTGTAAGAGAAGAAGACAGAGGAGGCCTGGACCAGGAGGGGGGTGGGCATGGAAAGAGCTCCAACCCCAGGAGGCAGGAAAGCTCTGCAGAATCGTTTCATTCCTGCCCCTACTTGGGGCTGTCCTGGGGCAGCAGGTCCTTTGCATTAGGACACCCCTCGGTCCCCGGTGCTGCTCTTGGCCACCCCAAGAGGAAAAGACATCTCAGACTCAGGGACCTGTGGTGACTACGCCAAAAGAGAAGTTTTGAGTCAGAAACCTAAACAGACAATTCCTTCACACAGGTGTGAAATCATCTGGGCCAGTAGTTTTCACCTTTTTTTTTTTTTTTTAACAGAACACTTTCTTCATAAGATCTTAAAGCAAACCCCTTATCGGCTACTTGAAGAACCGCTGGAACTCCAGGTTGCACTCTGATTTACTGTGCAGATAGGGAGAGTGAAGCTCAAAGAGAGGATGGAAATGTGACCGAGGCCACACAATCAACCAGTGGTTAAAGCAAACAAAACTTCAAAAACCACCTTCCGTGCAGGTCTCTAAACCTTGGCACAGGTGTCTCCAGCTCTGTGAGGCATCAAAGAGAAACGGAAAGTTCCTTCATTTCCAGGCCATTTACACCCGGGAGGAAGAGGGCTCCGAGAGGGGGCATGGGGACATAAATGGGGCAATGTACCAACACCGCTGCAATAAACAATCTCCCCGGGGAAGCAGGGGGCTGTGGTCTCCTTTGAAAACAAGAATGTTCTGCAGGAGGTTTCTAGCGCTGAGCCCCCTGCTGAAATAAAGCAGAAGCAGGCCCAGCAAACCGGACAAAAGAAATTCCTTCCAGCTGCCTTGGCGCTGCCTCCTCCAGGGCTCCTCAGAGAGCTGGCAGCCAGGTTTTGCTGGTGGCCCGACCGACCGCACAAGGGCCCCAGATGTCTCCCTCCATTAGTCACAGGGCACTTCATGAGGCATGAGCCAGGGAGGGGCTTTTGGTGGGCTTCTCGGGTTGGCTTCCTGCCAGGGGAAGCTGACAGCCCAGGGTGGGGAGCGGCGGAGTCGACCCTCCGGCCTGCACTATGTGAGGATGGGAAAGGTGGACAGGGACTGAAGGCCGGGCACCGGGCGTTATCGCCGAGAGATTTAGAGACTTGACAAGGCCCCGACAGCGCTGGGGGAGGGGATCAGCCTCTGATGTCTGTCCAAGCGGCCCAGCCCAGCGGAGGTGGAAGGAATGCACTCCAGCTGCTCAGCTGGGGGGCGGGGAACAGGCTGGATTGCGAAGCATCCTGAGGAGACTCCGGGAACAACGGGTGGGCTCTCCAGGCCACCGGGATGTGCCGCCTCTTGTGCCTGGTGAGCCCCCACCTTCGGCACCTCTAGAGCTGCCCAGGGGTGAGCCCCCACCTTCAGCACCTCTACAGCTGCCCAGGGGTGAGCCCCCACCTTCGGTACCTCTGGAGCTGCCCAGGGGTGAGCCAGGCGGAGGACCTTGCAGAGGACAGGCGCTCCCGGAAACAGACAAGGGAGGCCGCGGGGCGTTTATCATCAGAGGGGCTGCCTCCATTCCTCTGATCTGAGGAGTAGGTGTTGCCACCAGGTTAAAGCAGAGTTGCTTTCTGAAAGCAGCTGAAGTGGAGCCACAGGCCCCTGGGCCTCAGCTCCCCAGGTGGGTTTTGCTCACCTAGAAAACCGGGAGCTCGCAGAGAGGTTCCGATCAATCCCTTAATTCCAGTCTCAGCCGGCATATGGCAGGGCACCCCTCCTCTCTGTCCCCCACCTTCCAAGCCCCGGCCACTCCTGGCCGTGAGAGACTCTCAGAATGTTCCAACTGGAGGGGTCCTCGGAGACCTGGGAGTGTGGCTTTCACTGTTCTGGAACTAAGGCAACGGTTCTCAACCTGTGGGTCGCGACCCCTTTGGCGGTCCAACGGCCCTTTCACAGGGGTTGCCTAAGACCATCCTGCATATCAGATATTTACATTACGATTCATAGCAGTAGCAACATTACAGTTATGAAGTAGCAACGAAAATAATGTTATGGTTGGGTCACAACATGAGGAACTGTATTAAAGGGCCAGAAGGTTGAGAACCACTGATAAGGAGCGGCCTCCAGGGTAGTGCCGGGGAGGCCCAGGGGCGAGGCTTAGGCTACCCCCATTCCACTCAAGACTCCCACTTTGATCTTTACTGCATTGAGACTCTGCGTAGGATGTCATTTAAACAAGAGACTGATACTGGGCACAAGCTTGAGGTCCTCTTTCAAGTTTATTGTTCTCGTTTTCACTTTGTAGTGCATGCCCTTGGGCCACTTAAAAACCTCTGTGTCTCAGGTTCTCCATCTGTCAAATGAGAAGAGTAATAGTATGTAATGCACTTAGAACATGTTGTGCTCAGTCACAGTAGAAAACGGAGGGATGGTTGTTATTGTTATCATTACTATTATTTTAAGGTGAGGCCCAGAGAGGAGAAGGGACTTGCCCAAGTGACAAGGGAACTTGGTAGCAGAAAGGTGAGTAGCACCAAGGCTTCCCAACGACCTAGTGGAATCCTTTGTGTCTTGGACATTTTGAGGTTGATCCTCCATGGAAATCTTTGAAGATAAACAAAAGCACCTTTAGCGGAGGCCGTGCTATTTAAGGGGCCTCTGGCACAACCTCTATGATCCTCAGAAGAGGAGGGGGGGGGGTGAGGAGAGGAAGAGAGAAAGGAAAGGGGAGAGGAGGAGGAGGAGGTGGAAGAGGAGGAGTCTTGAGTCCTCTTAGCTACTAAATAGGAGCTGGTGCTTTATCTTGGCCTGTAACAAGATACAACACACACGGTGGCTTATAAGCAACAGAAATGTATTTCTCATAGTTCTGTAGGCTGGGAAGTCCAAGATCAAAGTGCCAGTACGGTCCAGTGAGGACTTTCTCTTTGGTTCATAACTGGCACCTTTCACATGGTGGAAGGGGTTGGGGAGCACTCTGGAGCCTCTTTTATGAGTCACTAATCCCATTCCCGAGGGCTATACACTCATGACTTAAGCACCATCAAAAATACTATAACTTTTGGCCTGGCTGGCATGACTCAGTGATTGGGCGTCGACCTATGAACCAGGCGGTCATGGTTTGATTCCCAGTAGGGGGCATGCAGGACGCAGCTAATCAATGATTCTCTCTCATCATTGATGTTTCTGCCCCTCTCTCATTTCTCTTCTTCTTTCTGAAAATCAATAAAAATGCCAAAAAAATATATTTTTAAAATACCCTCATTTTTGAGGGTTAGAGTTTGGACATCTGAATTTGGGGGACATTTAATCAACAGCAGATGATCTCCCTGGGGATGTTCTTGAGGGGATATCTTCATTAGGTAGAGGAACTAGATTTGAAAAATATTTCAAAGCTAAAAATACTTTTTGGAGGATAAGGACTACACTTTGGGTTGCCCAGGGTCTCAGCCTGAATATGGCCAATTTCAGTACAGTCGCAGCCTCTGAATCTCTCCGTTCCATCTAAGTTGAACCACAGCCCCCCGTGCCCCAGGTGAGGTCAGGGACACTGCGACCAGTTTCGTAGGGAGCCTGCTCATTGCCTGAGAAAGTCAGTGCTTGCACTCAGCAGTTAAAGAGAGTCTGGTTCTGAATCCTATCACTTTGTGGCTGACTAGCCAAGGTATTAAACCTAAGCCTCGGTTTAATCATCTATAAAATTGGGATTATAAATCTTGCCTCATAGTATTACTGGGAAGATCAAATGGGATAATGCACTTACTGGAACGTAGGCAGTGCTCAATAAATGCTTATGACTATTATCAAATGTGGCTTCCTGCCCCTATGTGTATATAATGTCTTTCCCATCTTCTGTCCAGCTGGGGCCTATATTAGTTAGGATTTAGTTGCCTGCAAAGAAATAATTCCAAAATAGTGATAATAGAGAAAAGACAGAAGTTTATTTCTTCTCACATAAAATCTAGATGGGTGATCAGGAGTAGAAAGTAGTTCCCCAGTGTCTGGTATCCAGACACTATCTTGTAATACCCCTCCATGACCTTGACCTCATGGTCCACGATGGCAGCATTCAAGTTCCAGGCAGTAGAATGAAGGAATAAAGGAGCCAAAGGGTGCTTATAACTATCTCTTAAGGAACGTTCCTGAAGGCTGTTGTACTACCATGTCTGCTTATATGCCGTTGGCCAGAACATAGTCACACAGGTCACCTTTAGCTGCAAGGGAAGCTGGGAAATGCAGTCTTTATTGTGGACAGCCATGTGCCCAGCCATACATTGGTGGATATATTCCCATAAAGGAAAGGATGGATATCAGAGACCTGCAGCAGTGTCTGCCCCAAGCCTCTGGCTTGTCCAGGCCAGCTGGGCAGCTGGGAGCCAAGTACCTGAGCACTAAACAACGGGGATGGGATTATGCTGCTTCTACTCGTCCACCCACAGTGGCTTCATCTGCCACGGAGGATGTGGGAACACTAAGGGCACTTGCATTATCAGCAGTTGCTCCTCCATTCGTGTCAAAGCCCCCTGAAATCACATCGTGCCTCCTCCAGTTTCTTCCACGGAAACAAGTCTGTCATTCCTGCCAGTCTGCAGGGAGGTTTACGGTGCCCTTCATAGCGTCATAGAGCTTTCATCAGTTCCTAGTGGCCTACTGTTCTTTACCCTGTTTCCTTGAAGGTGCCCTTGAGTCTCCATAAAGCGTGTGTTTTCCATTCAGCACCATGCTCTTTGTCCCTTATGGCAGGTCCCGCACCACTTTGTATACCTTTGTTCACACATTGAATCAAAACCTTTGAGGTTTACGGTGCCCTTCATAGCGTCATAGAGCTTTCATCAGTTCCTAGTGGCCTACTGTTCTTTACCCTGTTTCCTTGAAGGTGCCCTTGAGTCTCCATAAAGCGTGTGTTTTCCATTCAGCACCATGCTCTTTGTCCCTTATGGCAGGTCCCGCACCACTTTGTATACCTTTGTTCACACATTGAATCAAAACCTTTGGCCGGAACACAACATAAGAAGAGAGAGAGAGAGAAACCCCAGCAGAGTAAACAACCTAATAACAGAACACACGGCCATGGCCCAGCAGAAGCTCACTGGCTGAGCGTGGTCCCAGCCAGGCAGTGGCCAGGAGAGGGGAGAGAGTGCCCAGTGCTGTCCCCCAAGTTAGGGGGGCGGGGGGAGAGGGGGAGAGGATGGGCAGTTCCTCCTGAAAGGGGCGTGAGGTGGGTATGGGGTGGGAGTTGACTGCAGCTGAAATTGAGACGAGCGGCCAGCCCACTGCTATTTCAGAAGGAGCCCAGTGTGGTTACTCGGGGAGCTGTAATTAAGCTCATCTATAATTTGATGAGTGGAAGCAGCCTCACATTTTATAGAGTAATTAAGTCTCACTGAGAGAGCAGCACACAGTGTTTCGGGGACCAGCACCCCCGAAGGTTATTCCCCATTTACACTCTCAGCTCTAGTACATATCCACCGATGCCGAGGCCAGGATGGTTCTCAGCCGCAGTCCTGAGAATACTTCCTGACCCTGCACGCTCCACCTCAAGCCTCCATCAGCGCCCAGGCCACTGGCAGATCCCACAGACACCGCGGACACACTTGCTGTGCGGTACAGGAAAGGCTCAGCCTCCCTTCGTGCCGCTCTCTGCAAAACCGTGGGCCAGGAGAAAGCTGAGTTCCATGCTCCCCACCCTTCACAGGCTGCATGGCCAGCCTCTGACTGAGCAGAGTCCTGCCCAGCTCTAGGTCCCTGATAGGGAGACTGAGGTCAGCTGGGGAGAAAGGAAGGGGTCCTGGGGAAGGCCTGGGTTTCTGTCTTGGCTGTCCCACTTTCTTTGACCTTGAGCAAGGTGCTTGACCTCCCTGAGACTTAGTTTCCTCATCTGTGAAATGGGAACATGATCCTGCCTAACTCATAAGCTGTTTATGAGGATCAGATGAGAGGTGAGTTGTAAGCCCATGCGGTTAGTTGCGAAGGGCACGTACATGTGAGGATCGTCAGCAGCTCCCTGCGTGCATTAAAACCTCTCCAAGTTCTTGGCTGCGCGGGGAGTCAGCGCGGGCCATCGGCCTGGTGAATCATATA